AATTTCTACGTAGCAGGCACCATGCCAAACTTCTTATATGCAGTATCTTACTCAAGACTCACAGCAACTCTCTGAGATGAATGCTATCATTATCCTCATTTTATAGATGAAAAAACTGAGCCTCAGGGAAGGTGAATAACCAGGTAAATGGCATCATGGTAATAACACCTTGCAAGAGCTGACATCCTAGTTGCCCTCCTCCCAGCCTCTCGCGTGCCTACTCCAAGGAAGGCCTCCTCCCACTACGAAGTCAAAGGTAAGATATCGGATTTCATCTTACACTTGCCCTATCAGCAGGCCTCGCACAGTTCATTATTCAATCTCCTCCCTTCATCTTCACTTGGCCTTCAGAACGCCACATTTCGCTGAATTTCTTCCTCCCTTGGGGGCACGGCTTTCAGTCTCCTCTGCTGGCTCTTCCTTTGCATGTTGGGATTTCTTGGGCTCAGTTCCTGGGCCTCCTCTTTTCTCTCTACTCACTCCCTGGTGACCTCATCCAGTCTCATGGCCACAAAAACTATCGCTCTATAAGCCGATTGCTCATAATTCCAACCTGGATCTTCTCCCTGCAGTGAAGACTCAACCACGCCGCGTGGGTGTCTGACAAACCGACACCTCAAACTTAGTGTGTCCCAGATGGAAGTGCTGATGTTTCCGCCAACCTGTTTCACGCACAGCTGTCCGGTCTCAGCTGACGGCAACTCCATCCTCCCAGCTGGAGTCAACCTTGACTCTTCTCTTTCCCTCACACCCCACATGCAATCTACCAGCAAGCCCTGTTTGCTCTACTTTCAAAATACATTCATACACTCCGAGTTCTTCCCACCTCCACGCTCCCACCTTGCTTTGAGTCACCAACACTTCTCACCTAAATTATTGTAATGGTTACCTGGCAGGGCTGCCTGTTCTCCTCCTTGCCTCTCTATACTTGGTTTTCCAGTAGGCTGCCAGAATAATTCAGTTAAATAAGTCAGCTAATAATAGCAAGAGCCACCAAATTCTCGAATGGCCCCCATTAGTACTGAGAGTAGAAGTCAAAATTCTTACAATGGCTTACAAGGACTCCTGTCATCTGACCTTTGTCACTTCAACTTTACTTTCTATCACTCTCGCTTAATTCCTCTCCTTCCTGCTGGCTTTCTTGATGGTCCTCCCATGTCCCAGCACGTTTAGCCTTAAAGCCTTTATACTAGATGTTCCTTCTGCCCTTCAAAGGATATTCTTCCCCCTTCAAAGCTGTTCTATCTTTTCAGCGAGGTCTGTTGGTCAACTCTACTGAACATGACATCTCTGCTTAGCATTGCATAATTCAATTTCCGTGAGGATTCTAATGCTTGTAATTTACTTACGTTTTATTGTTTGACCCTCCCACACACACATACACAGTGGTTTCAAATCCAGTTCTGTTAACTAGAAGAGATGTGACATATAGTAGGTGCCCAATAATTATGTGTTGAATAAAAGCAACAGAATCTCAAATCTTAACTTTTGGATTGTGCTGATACTCAGGGGATTGTGTAATTAAACCAGTTGCCTCGGGTCAGCCCGGATGGTAACAAAACCGTGGAAAATGAAAGTTATCAACTTATGTTTTCAAACATAAGGAAACCATTTCGAAGAACCAAAAACTATGTTGCATGAGTCCAAGGAGGGACATCAGTTACTATGGCTTCTCCTGCCCCTGCTTCTTGGTGTGATTGTCCTGGGACAGAGGGGAGTCTGTTCACTGACACAGGCATAGGCCTGTCTCTAGAGCACCAGGTTGACTTAGCTTCCTCGGACCTTCGTGGGATCCTGAACCCCACGCATCAAGACATATCTGCTTGATCAGCCACTGTTACAGCCCCATATCTTCTTGTCACTAGTGAGTATTTCACAATGAGAGGTAGCAGAGTAGTGACTCCTGGGTCTGTGTCTTAGTTCTGTCCATCATCAGCTGCATGACCCTGGGGAAGCAACTTTTGTCACAGTGCCTGCACAAACTCTTAATAAATGTTAGCTGCTATTAATGTTATTGTCTTATTTTTCATAGGAGCTCTCAGAAGATATTACCTTAGTTCAAAAAAATTGCTCTACTGAATAATTTTGCACATCATGATTAGTTGATGAAGGAGACATTTTGGCAGAGGTTTACAAACACTAGTGTTTTTAATCATCTATGTTTAAGGTTTCTGCTTTATGAGTGGGTGGGAGGATCTTAGTGTCGCTCAGATTAACTGTTGGAGACTTTCTACACAGTTTAAAAATACGTCTCTTCAAGGATATGTTTTGGATTGTTTTTAATTAGCTCAGACACAAGAAACAGCATTATACAAATTATTTACTTAGCCACTGGTGTTTTCAGTACTACCGTGACTACTGTTACTGCTCGTATTTTCTGTTAATGGCTATCATTTATTGAGTGCTTGCTCTGGTCTAAGTAATTCACCTCTAATAACTCCCTAGTCTTACCACAACCTGTGAATTAAGGATTAATTAATATTCTTATTTCTTCATTCAGACTCACCGGAAATTAAGCTGGAGACCTCATCACATAGTCAGTGATGGAGACTGGATTAAAATCTAGTTTATCCTTAAAGCTTATATTTTTACCATCACATTACTTTGTGGAGATACCAAGAAGAGAAATACATTTCTCTTCTAAACAGATTAATAAATATCAGCAGAATGATACTGTAAGATAATTTTACATATATGGAAATAAAGATTTACTTCCTAAAACTCTGGGTAATAAAGGTTGACTAATGTATTTTCTGAAATGATAACTTGATCAAATTCTAGTGAATATGAATATTGAGCCTCTGCTTAAAATTAAGATAAATTGTTTCTTGCCAAAGCAAATTATAATTGGCAAGTATTTTAAGAGAATTTGTACACATAAATAAAGCAAATCTAGGTAAGAAAAGATTTTATATGAAAATTACTTCTCTGAAACCTAAAAGCATTTTAAGTACTAAAATGGTTTGCAGTATGTTAAATGGTAACTGACCCATCAATGATTTCTAATAAACATCTAGAAGAGAAAAAAACTTATAGAATATAATTTCTGGATAAACTTTTAGAATATGATTTCTGGATATTCAAATTAAAAGACACCTAGAAATTTACTGATGAATTTAGTCGAGTTTCACATTGGAAGATGGTTTCTTTCTCCTTTCCCTTCTTGCTTGGGAACTAACAAAGCATTAGTTTATATTAGATTCCCAAACCAAAGGAGTTAGGTTCTCTATGAAACACATGTAAGAAGAGATGGGACAATGTACCACCGGGCAGTCTGAGGACTGAGAGGCCACAGCAACTGCAGATGTTTGTCTCTCTTGCTGAAGAATTATCTTTGTAGTCTCTGGAGAAAGCTCAGGTAGCTGTTTGTGGCTTTCAGGGTCCTGTCCTGAAAGGGGAGCTATCTGAATGGAAAGAGATGCTGTGTGTATCTCAGGCACCGGATTAGATGGTGGTGAGCAAGGCCTTTTGAGAAATGATGGTACTTCAACGGGTTTGGAAAACTGTAGAGTATTAATGGGGTTGCTACTTCCTAGATCCTGGTTATGGATTAGTTTCAAGGTAGAAATTCTCCGAGTTTGAGAGTCTTGCTGGTAAGCTTCTTGTAGAACTGGGGTATTGACGTCAGTGAATGATGCAGGATCTGTGCTGGAAGCTGCTGGTAGTGGATTAGTAATTTTTTGTGTATATGACACAGTTGTGTTAGATTCTTCAGAATATACAATTGTCTGTCTGGAATCTTCATTAGAATACATAGTTCCTTGAAGATGCTTTTTGTTAGTAAAGTATTCTGTACAGGAGGGAATTTGTGTGTTAGTTACTAATTGGTCTAAGATGTCACCGTTTTTGTGACTGGTTATCAAAGAGCTACAGAAGCTCTCTTTTCTGGCTGGTGGAAGGGGTGCCTGGATTGCCAGAAGCATCCGGAGAAAGAAATAAAGTTGAAGAAAAAAGAGAAAGTCAAAGTTAGTCATGAAAGAAACCAGTGTCAACCTTGTCCTTACAGATGGTAAAGCAATGCCACACCTGGTTATGCAATCCATTATGTTGGCTAGATTGAATGATCATTTTCATTCCATTTACAATGCATTTTATTTTTTTTATTTTTTTTTGAGTTGGAGTCTCACTCTGTTGCCCAGACTGGAGTGCAGTGGCCGCTCCCGGCCACCGCAGCCTCGACCCGCTGGGCTCCAGCAATCCTTCCACCTCAGCCTTCCGAGTAACTGGAATTACAGGCATGCGCTACCACGCCCTGCTGATTTTTTGATTTATTGTAGAGATGAGGTCTCACTGCCCAGGCAGGTCTCGAACCCGCAGGCTCAGGCAATTCACTTACCTCAGCCTCCCAAAGGCGCGGGATTACAGGCTGAGCCACTGAGCCCGGCTGCTACAATGCATTTTAATTTACTATAAATAGTTGCCCTTAAGGGAAAATAGTTTTTCTCAAGATACATTATAAAGTCTGCCTCCTTCTATATTCTGAGCAATCATGCTAAAGTGAACGTATGTCCTCTTGGCACATTTTTAGAACTTGAAGTATATATATGGTTTATTTAGTCACTTAGCTTTATAACACTTTTCATGCTTATGGCACAATTTTACTAATATCTCCAAAACAGAGTCCCTTTAATTAATGTAACAAAGAGTTGCATAATCCATAGTTATTGAATACATAATGTATTGGTGACCTCAGAACTTTGAAATTCAAAGCATCAGTTGTCAGTTTTAGAAGAATTAGAATATATTCTGAACATTAGGTTAGAGATTGATTTACTTTAATTAGGTTAATCCAAAACAAACAACAACTGTTTTGAACTTAAAACTTGGTCTCCATGTGGTAAATACAAACCTGGCAAGCAAAACAAATATAAAAGCAAAAACATATTAAAAATAAAACATGTATCAAAATAGGCACACTAGTTCCTAGAAGAAAGGCTCAATGTGGTGGCCTCATAACCATGCTTTAAAATAACACAGCAGAAAAGAGTGTGCAGGATTACCTGAGTTGGTGATCTTTTATCTTGTAGGTTTGGTCGAACACTTCTAAAACCTTTTGCTGCAAGAGAGGAATATGTAGCATCTCCGTTCAGTGTCTCTTGATTTCGATCATTGTATGATCTCCAAGCTTTCATTAAGAGAAAACAAATTGGATACAAAAATATCTACTTTCACTTAATCATTTTGAAATTAAATTTATTTTTGCTTCTAAAATTCAAGTATTCTTACTAGAGATTTAATTTAACACGTGCAACAGTATATGAAACTTAAGTTTGGTGTGAGGTCAACGATGTGGCTATGAATATGCTTTTAAAAACTCACAACAAATATAATAGTTATTCAGAATATCTTTTCTGTACCTGAGTCTGGTGATTGGGAATCACGCCCTGAAAGGAAAAAAATGTTGAAATTAAGACTAGAATAAAATAAATGAATAATTCAGTAAAAACAACTTGACAAAGAACCAAATGTATTACTTTTGCAAATGTTATCTCAGTTCTAAAACTCTGAAAAATATATATATACACACACAAATATACTAATGATGTTTGTGCATTTATTTTTATTTCAATTAGAATATAAATCATTAAAAATTTATAATATATAATTAATATCTATATATCAAACACTGATTTTTTCCCCTCAATAATACTGCAACCATGCATTTTACTCTTTTTACTGCCCAAGATAGATATATGAATTTCTAAATATCAAATTAAAGGATCAAATGGGATCTGGTTTGTAAACAATAAATGCTTCTTCTGACAGTAACTCAAACCACTAGATCCTTAGCTTTCAATGTCTAACCATATTCAACTCCTGTGTTAGAGAACTATTTTTTGTAGTTTGTAATTTTTTTTTACCTCAAGAAATTGTAAATGTATCTACCATATTATGTGTTATTTTCAAATTATTCTGTAGACTTTGGGTTTCCTTCTTATGCCATATAAAAGTCATCTTATACTCAAATATAAAAGATTTGTCATAATACATTCCATTGTCTTTCAGCTAGAAAGTTGTGGAAAATACATTTCAGTACTAATAAGTTGCTTTTGGTAGTGCATTTGGAAAGCGGAACAATGATATATTTTTTATCAATGTTATTGGAATTATATATTTGAGAATCTTTTATATGCACATTTGAGGTAATCAACTATGCACATTTGAGGTAATTAATTTGCATATTTAACAGATGCACATTTGAAGTAACTAATTTGTCTTGCTTGGTTCTATTATACCACATGGTCAGCTTCATTTAGACTCATAAACTCTTGACTTTGGAAAGGACCCCAGAGGTCAGACTTTGGTCCAACTTGCTGTTCAGTCCCTGGGTTTCTTCGACATGTTCCTTGGAACCATTAAACAATTGCTGTTATTTTAATGCCTAATAACACATGGATCTTGCATGCTAAAAGAAATCTTCTTTTTCTTTTAATGCCTCAGGAATAGTTATTTCGAGGTCTAAATACATGAATTTTGAATGATAAAATGGGTTGAAATGCAGGCATTCGATTTCTAGAAGAAATATTTGATATGGATTCTTCCCAAATCAAAGGCAGAAAAATAAATTTGAGTCAGCACAGAGTACATTAGAATGACTCCAACTCAGATGAGTTAGAGAAAAACTAACAAATTCACATTTATAACAGATAATTTTGTATGAATTTTGTCTCCAGTGAATGCAAAATTAGAGTAATGAAATGGGCCCCCTACAGAAAAAAATTACTTTGAAGAATTGCCCTATTTCCAGGGTTGACGGAAGCAATCAGTTCAATGATGAAGAGGACTCTGTAACCAAAACATAGTTTAGCAACACAGAGCAACCATTAGAATTCCGCTCTGGTGCCATCGAATTCTGTTTGGGGACATTCCTGCTTTGGGGCAACACAGAGAACTCATTAGAGTAGACACTAGGGCAACTGTGGGCAACAAATTTTGAGAATTTGGGAATGGATAATGAAAAGGCATTAAAAATCATATCATATTTTTTGTTGAGAATAGAGAGTTTATTTTACTCTTGGTGTGATAAAGCTGAGATCAAAAAGCAGGGTGCAAGGTAGGTGCTGGGGATGGAGGGAATGGAGCCAGATGCTCGGAGGTGTAAGAGGCGGAGATGTGGGGAGGAAGAAGATGGTGTATGGAGCAGGTTTGAAGGACACTTGAAATAAACTTTCTCTAATTGATGGTCTGTAGAGGGGTAGCTCTGTTTCTTCGCATGGGGGACCCCTGGAGATTACAGAACCCTAAGAAACACTACATGGGAGAATCAGAGGACAGTCACTGTTGGCCCAATCATGGGCCCCTCCCTGGGGTACTGGGCCCAGGGATTTTCAAATGAAACTCCATCTGTGCTACTAAAAACATGAGCTATTAGTAATGGTTAACTCTGCTGGAAGGATTTGAGTCACAGAATGGATATGAGTGTGTAGAATTAAGGGAAAGGAGAAAATAGAGAAATGGCCGACTAAGGTCAGGATGAACCAATATTTTAACGAAGCCAATGTTTGTGATCACAAATCTACTTGTAAGTGGGTAATCCTTTAAGGATGCTGAAGTACACAACACTTCGGCTTTTTTCAAATAAATCTAGTTACAGATATGTAAAACACCCGGTCTTGATTTGCTCTTTTGTCATGGTCTTCTGAGGTACTGAAAGAGATTTCTCTTCCCATGTGGATACTGTTCACCATATCTCTGGATTTGTTTTATCCCTGTCGGGAAAGCCTAGGAAAGAAAGGTTGCCAGTACTCTGGAGCAAGTAATAGAAGGTCTTCTGGATCCATGTCAAGTAAAGGGAATATAGCTCACTAAACAAACAGTGCAAAATTGGTCAGGTGACTGGTATGGTGGATGCATGGGGAAAATGATTTTGCCCCAAATCTTGAATGTTACTGATGATCATTCTGAGTCCTTAATATCTAGCGTTCTTCAGCAGACAGTCATTGCTTCCCTGAAAACTTAGGAATGACAAAATGGGGAATGGTTTATCCTTCTTCTAGCTGTTTTGCACGTGACTATAAATAAGGTCTTTGAGAATGAAGAGCTATACAGCTCTTCACAACCACAACGTGCTTTTCCTGTGTCTGTTATGCACAAGCTGGTGAGCCCCCCTGTCTGAGATTTTGTTTAAGGCATTCTTGGTTTGGTGTCAGGGGTTGAATGGATGTCCTCAAAAGTCCTTTTCAACGTTATGATTCTAACATGGCAGCTTTTATGTAGCTGTGTTTGTGATACCTGTCACATCACAATTTCTACTCTCAGGTTTTGTTTAAATTCCTTTTAACTAGTGCTATATTGACATTATCATTCATATTTTTTCTTGAAAATTATGAAGATTTTAGTGCTTATAACTCATTTCCTTAGCATGCTCAAGTGCTTTCCAATAATTTAAACATGATAATTAAATTTGAGTCAGCTAATTGAATGCCTACTGTGCTAAGTACTACAACAAGGCTTTTCATTTATTTTTTTTCATTACTCTCATTTATTTCTGACAAATTCGTGTGCGTTTGGAAATGATTACGTTCTCAGAGAGGTAAGAAAACAATAGACACATTTTCTTTTTTTTTTTCTTTTGAGTTGGAGTCTCACTCTGTCACCCAGACCTGCTGGGCTCTGGCGATCCTTCCGCCTCAGCCTTCCGAGTAGCTGGAACTACAGGCGTGCGCTACCACACCCAGCTAATTTTTGATTTATTGTAGAGATGAGGTATCGCCAAGTTGCCCAGGCGGGTCTCGAACCTGCGGGCTCAGGTTCTTTTTTTTAAGAAAGAAAACTTAAGGCTGAGACAGACTAATCTTCTTAAGGCTAATAAAACACACAGGTAACATTGACAAGACCTTGTCTCCTGGCATGGTGGTCCCCACACGGCAACACACCACTCTCACCAATGTTACCTCAGATTGCCACGTGGCTTCGGTGAAATGAAATATCTTTCAATTTTTTCTCTCTAGTCACTGTTTTGTTTCTAGCTTAGGTTTAAAACAACAGTGTGTACTCTGAAGAACTGTCCAGTGGGAATTTACTTCTCACAAAAGGAAAAGAGAAAGACAGGCTGACTCAGGGGATGAATAGTTGATGACTTGTATGAACTTTCTGGACTAGAGGGAAACAAGGGCAACTTGGAAGCATTTGTGGAGGTAGTCTACGCTTTATGTAAAGGCTATTGTTATTTTAACAATATTAACACCTATTCACATATTTATGAATTCTCATTTGAAGCATATAAAGGCGTTGTGTCAAATAAGTTCCATGAAAAGTACTACAGAATGCAATTCGACATCAAAGATGCTGACTTCTTTCTTCAAAATGTAATTAAAACTTATTTGAAAAAGGGATCATAAGATATATCTAATTGATATAAAAGAGGCTTGTTTTTAAAGTAACAATTAAATCCAAAACTCAGGGACTTCATTCTCTAGAAAGCTTACTTCTACTGATATAAAATGTAAAATAGCTCAGAACCACTGCTCTTATACTGAAGAGTATTTCATATTCAAGTGTGAAATCTTTATACTATTCTGATTCTATTTTTCTGTTAAGTTGAATGATATAAAGTTGCTGATAATCCAGTTTTGACTTTCCAAAATGGCGATATCTAGCTCAATCCAATACTATTCTCTCAATGGTTACTTCTATAAATAACAGATTGGCATTGTTGAGGCAATGTGTCACTCCCTGGCATGTGCATCAGTGGTCCACATCTGAGTAGCCTGGGCTGAGATTTTATTTGGTTGAAATGTCTACAATATTCACGCTACAGCCATTCTAATTATTTTACTTTCTTTCCTTCATTCCCATTTCTCTGTGGTATCCCATGTAAATGTATCTGTAGTTTATCTAACATCTTTTCATGTTCATACACATGAGTCAATGTGTACAAATACATATATAGAGATTTTATTTAACCAGATGAGATCATACTACATACATTGCAATGCAGCTTGCATGTCCTTTTCACTTAATATATCATGGAATCTGCTGGCCAGGTATTTAAACTTGGGCATGGAAATTCTTTTGTGGAATGGCGGTGGTAGGTGGGAGTGGGCTTCTCTCTATGGATTTTTTTTCCCTCCACAAACCTGAATAGTCTAGGACCAAATGGTTTTAAAGCAAAGGACATCTGGAGTGGAGTGTTCAACTGCTAAATGCAGGCATGTAAAAGACTGAGATACACAGTGAGAATTATTTTTAGATTTTCCATCCCTTTCTTACTTCTTTCAAACTCATTAACCAATCAACCAGCCAACCAGCCACCAGAAGGTGTGGGTATGTTTCAGGGTCTAGAGGTGCTGGGTTGCTGGGCTCCTTCTGGTCTCTTGCCACAGCTGCCTGCCCTTGCGATGCAGCCTGTGCCTGCAAGCTTAGGTAGTCATAACAGATATTTATTATAAAGAGACACACCTGAGTGGATGCTGAAATGTCATGTCCCAATTACTCTCTAGAACAGTGATCCCCAAACTTTTTGACACCAGGTTTTGTGGAAAACAATTTTCCATGGGCAGGCAGGGGAGGGGGAAAGGAGGATAGTTTCGGGATGATTCAAGTGCATAACACTTATTGTACACTTTATTTCTAGTATCATTACATTGTAATATATAATGTAATAAATATACAATTCACCATTTAAAAAAGGAGGCAAGAATGGAAGCAGCAAATAAAATAATGAGCAGGCCACGAGCAGACTAAAATACGCATGGAATTCTGACTTAAAGCCTGCCATCAGATGCAGTTGTACAATTGAAGTACATCAACTCACTTGCCACTCACGGATAGAGTTTTGACATGTGTCTGCAAGTGTTTGTTTTATGATGGTCTCTGTGCAGTCAAACCTCACTGCTAATGTTAATCTGTATTTGCAGACACTCCCCAGCACTAGCGTCACCACCTGAGCTCCACCTCAGATCATCAGGCGTAGTCTCATAAGGAGCATGCAGTCTAGATTCCTCACATGCCTAGTTCACGATAGGGTTCGTGCTTCTATGAGAATCTGATGGCACCGCTCAACTGACAGTAGGAGGAGCTCAAGCAGTAATGTGAGCAATGAGCAGCTGCTGTAAATACAGATGAAGCTTTGCTTGCTGGCCTGCCCACTCACCTCCTGCTGTGAGGCTACAGGTCCATGGCCCTGGGGCTGAGGACCCCTGCTCTTGAGTATATTTGTGTTAATCTTTTTTTTTTTTTTTTTTGAGTTGGAGTCTCACTCTGTCGCCCAGACTGGAGGGCAGTGGCCACTCCCGGTC